CCATTTCATGTAGGAACTTTCTGTGAGGGAGCTTTTAGAGGTGGACGTCTGGTTCCTATCACCACCACTGTGAACAGTTCTGACTCGGCAAGTTTATCTAGAGCAGAGCGTTTCACACCAAACCACTCTGAATGACTCTGTTTGCATCTGAAATCTGGAAAAGTTGGATAAATTTATGTTTAATACGTTTAATACCAAATAATGGTAAATTAACAAGTGTAACTTCTTCTTAATGAGCACTTGTTAACTTTAAGACTAGCTGCACTCATAAATGAGGGATAATTCAGTCGTGTGTATTTAAGTAAAGCTCAGAGAGGCTTCATTTTTCGAGCATCACTGAGTGCAGCAGTGCAGCCAGAATGTTCTGGAACAGCTTTTCAGGCTCTAACAGACAAAATCATCGACTGTTTTGGCATCTTTGTCGGGCACTGTCACATTAGTTGGCTGCTGCCCTCTCGTCTGCGTATCTGTCCAGTTTTGATGAGGCCTTAGCTGAGGAGCTCACTCTCAGTTACAGCTGCATCTGTAAAACAGCTCATCACAAAACCAATTTTCAACATTTGAGAAACCATTTTTAATATAAAACAATATTTTTAAAAGGTTTAACTTAGAAATTTCTATAACACAGATTAATGTTACTTTTTATATCAATAACGTTGAACTACATTTAAAAAAATGTATTTTATTTAAAAATTCATCTGTCACAGAGATTGTGGTCTCTGGTGTTATCAGGACTCTTATGTTACATTGTAACACAGTATTTTCAGCTCTATTAAACTGCTTCTTTGGGTCGAGGCTCATCAGAGAGGAAGCAGCTCAAGGCCTGAGAAGGCGATACACACTCGCTATATTTCATTAATTTATTAATCATTTTGTTAATCAGGCAGCTCATAAATTCTATTTGTCCCTGTCTTTTGTGCTTTGATGGCTGGGTAATTCAAATTTTGTCAATAATGCCACATTATCGTTTTTATTACTGATTTTAAATAGTTGCGCAATGTCACCTGAACCACCAGTGAGCCAGCCAGTTTACAGAATCCTCAGTTTTAACCAGGATGTCACTGGAGTCACCGTCACTGGTGTTACACCATATTCATACAACACCAGTGACTAAAATATGTTTGGAATTAAGCTCCTTTCTGCATATATGATAATAGGAGATGTTAATGGACATATTAAGATTTAGTTCTGGGATGAAAGAAACTGATTTTTTAGAAATGTATCCACCTGAAACTCCCACTCCAAATGGAGAATGACCCATAAGTGATGCGTGTGTTGGGGGGTGTTCTGACAGCAGAGTTTGGTTGGACGGGACACCATAACTCGGACACTCTGGATCTTAATTAAGTCCGGCACTGACTCTGCTGGTGCCTTTGCTTTCCTTCTACACACTTAAAAAGGATGGTTCTTCAAGGGTTCTTTAGTAAAGGCAGTCATTCTATTTCAAACCAAATTCTATTTAGAACTATTTGCGTGCCTTGCCTGGTGAAAAGGTCCTTCAGATTGATGAAGAATGTGTTGTATATGCTTCTATCTAGAACCTTTTCTATATATAGAACTTGAAAATGGTTCTATATAGCACCAACAAGCGTTCTTCTACTGTTACAATGTCAAGACTGTAACAATAGCAGAACCCTTTTTGGTGCTATATAGAACCACATTTAACACATTTTCCATCAAGCTGAAGAACCACCTCACCGTGCAAAGAACCAATTAAGCACGTAAATTGTTCTGTATAGAAATCTTGGTTCTAAACCGTTGCCTTTACTAAAGAACCCCTGAAGAACCATCTTTCTTAACCATGTGCCAAGACTGCAGGCAGCCTGAGCTTCTGCTGCTGCACGGTTGCTCACAGATCACAGCGCCATCTAGAGCAATGAAAAAGCACATGCAGTGGGGTCCAAACATCTGATACCACAAGTGTTTTAAAACAGTTGATTAGAAATTAAATCATCAGCAGTTTGAGTGAGTAGAATGGTTTCTAATTTTCTTTTGGGTGTCGTGAGGAAAAATTAAAGTCATTCAAGCGCAGCAGAGAAATGCAAACAGAAGGAGGAGAGGAAAGTGTGTGTAGCTTCGCTCCCAAAGCTAACTTTGTTTTATTCAGAGCACATAACACTGGAGTTATTGACAGTGTACACAGCTCCAGTGTTGGGGCAATAACTCAACAGTAATCCATCACAGGTTGCTAATTACTTGGAAAAAGGTCATTTTCAAAAGATTTTAATACATTTTATTTATATAGTATACTTTTCATGAAGTCAACTCAAGATGCTTTACAGGAAATCAACAAAACAAAATTCATGAAAAACACGTTGGAAGAGAAAAGTCTCAAGATTCTTTTTAAAAAGAGACAAAGATCCAGAATTTCTTAGAGACTCATTACTCAACTTCTGTGTTATTCGGTACCAAATTATTTCACTATACTGGCAGAAAATTTTGCTTGTTTTAAGCACATTTTTTAAAATAAACAAAATGATCTGCAAATATAGTGACATAATTTCACTTAATGAATTTACTTAATTAAAAATTATAGAAACGTTATATAAATCTCACAATATTCTTACAACATTCTCAAATAACAATGATAATAATAATAATAATAATAATGATAATAATAATAATAACACTAACAATACTATACATAGAAATTTAAATTACACACACACATTTCCTAAGCTGCTTATCGTTCTGGGTCGCAGGGGGAGCTGGAGCCTATCCCAGCAGTCACAGACACGGGGAGAACATGCAAACTCCACACAGAGAGGACTCTGGTCGCCTGGCTGGGAAACCGAACCCAGGCCCTTCTTGCTGTGAGGCGACAGTGCTACCCCCTATGTCACCGTGCCGCCTCAAATGTTAATTATTTATATGAAAATGAGAATTATTAGATATATTAACTCATATTTATATATATATACATTTTCTTTTCCTATTTTATTATTTTTACCTTACTTATACGTTGGTCTTGCATGTATGCTGCTGAAACACTCTAACTTCCCTTTGGGGATTAATGTTATTTGATTAAATGATTAAAGTGCACAGTGAGCCCCATGAGCTGACGGCCCTATGAAACTACAATACTGTACATTAAATAACCTATTCAAAAACACATATTCACTATAAAAACAGCTGTAATTTGTGACTGTGGTGATTATTTTCAGGAGATTCACTGCAGCCTCACCCCTCAGTCATGGTTATAAAGGACTTTTCCATGCTGTTACATCATGACACACCTGCATACAGAAAGGCTGTTATGAACAAGGCAATAAAGCAATAACCTACATTATGGAGCGAAGGTTTTCAGGGGGTGGAGAGGGAAAGTCAAATTATCCAAAGGCAGCAGAGAAAAGCTAACCTCGTTTTCTCAGTTTTACTAAAGACAATACTTCTATACAGGACCATGAACACTCATAGAACCATTTGCATGCTTAAATGGTTCTCTGCATGGTGAAATCGTTCTTCAGATTGATAGAGAATGTGCTGTATATGATTCTATATAGAACCTTTTTGAAAAAGGCTCTACATAGATCCAAAAACTTGCTCCTCTAACAATAGCAGAACCCTATTTGGTGCTATACAGAACCATTTTACAGTGGTGAGAAATGTGTTTCTTCTATTGATCCTCTATAGTTACAAGCTTGACATTGCAACAATAGCAGAACCCTTTTTGGTGCTACATAGAACCATATACAACACATTCTCAATCAATCTGGACACCATGCAAGGAACCATTTAAGCATGCAAATGGTTCTTTGAATGTCCATGATTATATAGAACCATTGTCTTTAATAAAGAACCCTTGAAGAACCATCTTTTTTAATAGTGTAGAAAGCTAGAGTTTGGGGTAGTTACTAAAAAAGGCAATCCATTACAAGTTATTAATTATCCTCAAACTGTAATAAGATAAGGAGCATGTTTAGTGGCAGGTTGCTGTCACAGAGCTGCTCAACCAACCGATTTAGGAGATCCTTTGTCCCCAGAACCATCAGGGGGGCCAGAAGAGAAGAGAGAAGAGGGAAGAGGAGAGATGAGGACTGAATCTGAATCTCATGCTAAATCATAGGTTTATCATATCCATCTGCACATATGGACACCTTACTGTACATATGGCACTTTCTGTAGCCCCTATCGCGCATCTTGCACATCTGGACACTCCACACCTGGACACTTTATTTCAGTACCAATATCTGCACATATTTATTCAGTATTGTCATTATCTGCTGTTACCTGCGCCTCCCTGTAGATTTATTACTGCACTGCCTTTTTATCTCAGGTTATAGTTATTATTCCAGATTGTTGTATATTTCTATATGTATATATGCCTGTTGATAGGATTTTTTATATGTAGATTACATTACTCTAATAATACTCTAATAATAATTTCTACATTACTCTGTTTGTAAATATCTCACTCTTTTGGCAGATTTGGCATTATTTCCTAAAACAAGCTAAATTATGTGCCAACATAGTGAGAAATTTTCACTTAATAAAACTGAAATTAGTTAAACTGTGTCTACAGGTAGATAAACAATTGTATAATATTCTTACAACTGCCTTAAAATGAGAAATATTACAACCTCATTTCCAGAAAAGTTGGGACGCTGTGCAAAAAGTACATAAAAACAAAATGCAATGATGTGCAAAATCATTTAAACCCTACATTTCATTAATAATAGTTGTTGGCTTGTTGGCATCACATTCAAAATGGGCATATATTTTTCAAAAAACAATAACATGTCTCAGTTTCAACATTTGATATGTTGTCTTTGCAGTGTTTTCAATTATTATTTCATTAAGATGTTTTTTGCAGTGTGGACGGAAGAGCCCTGAGTCTACTAATTTAAAAACGTAGACCCCATTTCTTTTGCTTAGGGTCCCAGAGTCACTAATCCCCCCTACTCTGGGGTGAAAATAAACCATGTTGAAATGTGGTGTACTGGCCCTTTAAGTGTGGGCCTCCTGCTCTGCTGTAGCTGCTCGGTTTTGCTCCACGTCGGCTGCATCTGCGCAGTGTCTGCTTTACCTGCCCGAGAAATGGGAGACGGCAAAGCTGGGAGCCGCGGACACTGACAGCGCAGTTCGCCTGGATGCGGCGCAAAAGCTTAAGATAATAAAAACACACAAGAAGCGACACTTTACTGAGGGCCATCATGTTCAAAAAACTGAAACAGAAAATAAATGAGGAGCAGTCACCACAAAGGAGTGCCCAGTCACCACAGCAGGCCCAGGTTAGTAGCTCGATAGCTTAGCTCGTAGCACAACATTTAAGGCTACAGGCGTTAAAGTGGGCTTATTTAATCGTTTATCAGTCTTATCACTCTTTCCTTCATCATTTAGAAACGATGAGCCCTTTTTATTCCAGACCTCAAGCTGAAGTTGGCTTGTTTTGGTCCTTTTTGGAATTTTTCCGTTCCACCTTAAATGGTGCAGCAGTTTCATTCGGGCGCCCGAGGCGCCCGAATGGAACTGCTGCACCATTTAAGGTGGAACGGAAAGATCGTCGCTAGCGACGCTTTGTTTTGAATCTGCTCAAGCTTTTCACGTGACATTTAAAAGAAAACGGCAAGGTCGTGTTGGAAAACTTACTTTAGGGGTTTGTTTTGGTCTGTTTAGCGTCTTTTCCACACGTTTTTACCGCTTTCTTGTCACAACACCAACAAGACAGCTCGCTGTTTCCGCGAACGTCACGCTCAGTTTACAGACCCAGATGTCAAACGAAGCGAAAACCAGCTTGACAGGCTGGATTAAAACCCAAACCAGCGTCCGGTTCTGCCAGAACAAGCTTTTAAAGCATAATTCAACAGATTCCACACATGTATCATCCAGTTTTGACCCGTTCAACACATCATTTTGTGCAGTTTCGTTGTTTAAAGGGGAACTCCACCGACTTTTTAGAATTTCTGCACAGTCAAATGATTAAGATGTAAAGACTCGTTCAGAGTGGTTGAGAGTGAAACGCTCCGTTCTAGATAAACTTACCGAGTCAGAACTGTTCACAGTGGTGGTGATGGGAACCAGACGTCCACCTCTAAAAGCTCCCTCACAGAAAGTTCCTACATAAAATGGTTATGAATTCACTGCCTGATGACTGAGACACTGTTTTAGGATAGTTTTGAGAACTTAAACTCCATTCATGGTGGAGGGATACATGCAGGGTGCTGTGAGGCAAAATAGTCCCCAAAGAAAACTTATTATTTCAGATTTTCCACTATTTTCCCATCATCAACATTCCATATAAACTCAGAAGACATGTAGTTTGCATATTTGTGTTGTAGTCATGGCGACCCCTGGTTCCTATCACCACCACTGTAAAGACATCTGAACCATTTCACACCAAACCACTCTGAATCGCTCTGTTTACATCTCAAACATGGGGGAATTTTGGAAAATTGCTGAAATTCCCCTTTAAAGTAGAAACATGATGCTCTTAAAGGGAAATTACACCAGGTTTTCAGAATTTCTGCATAATTAAGTGGTTAAGATGTAAACAGAGTGGTTTGGTGTGAAACGCTCTGTTCTAGAGAAACTTACTGAGTCAGAACTGTTCACAGTGGTGGTGATAGGAACCAGACGTCCACCTCTAAAAGCTCCCTCTCAGAACATTATGACGTTGTTTTATGATAAGTTTTGGGAAGGTTTAGGTTGTGAGACAAAGTCGTGCCCAAAGAGGAGTTATCACTGCATCGGTGTGACGTATAAAAACACACACAGGTTCATCAGGACCCCTGGTTCCTATCATAACCAGTGTAAAGAAATTGACAGTGCAGTAAACATCATAAAGCTGTGATGTCTGTTTTTCCTCTGTCTAAGGTGTGTACTGCTGTTGTGTTGTCATTGTCATTATTGTTACCTGTGCACCTGTACTGTGATGAAAAGAACTCAATAAATCTGAGTTTCTCCACAAATCACTCACAAAATTCAAATTTCCATTTTAACCAGTACATTTTTGAGTACAGCAGTAACAAGGTGTGCTTGAATGTGTGCCTTGTGTTCATATGCTAATGTTAATATGCCAATTTTCAATTTTGATCTTTCTTATGTTTAAAAGATTTAAAACTCGAATTACTGTTGTATGCAAAAGTTTGGTGAACATATGTGAACACATCCTCTACAGAGGACACACTTCTGCACATTTTAATGCATAATTACTGTTTATTTACTGAATTTAACACACTGTAATAAAATTTTATAACATTACATTCATACCAAGGCCGTGGCACATTTGATTTTATGTTAAAATATTAAAGTGTGGTCCCTGTGGTGAATTTGTTGAACTTATATTCACTTAAAAAATCAACAAAATGTAATCTGACTGGGGTGTTCAAACTTCTGCATACAGCTGTATATACTGCACAGGCTGATTTGACTCAGATCAGACTTACTCAGCGCACCCTCACTAATAAAATAAACCAAAAAATCACATCTAGAGTGTATAATTGATTTATAATGAGCTAGGGTATGAGCATTACATTAAGCTCTGCCCCCTCCCTGCCCACTTTACTCCGATAGGCTGCGCTCAGATGCCTAGTTTTGATTGTTGACAGTGGTTTCCATAAAAATTAGTAAATGAGAAATGCTCTGAATTTGATATGTTTAAAAACAATGCACTATTACTTTCCCCAACATCAGGCATAACATTATGACCACCTCCTTGTTTGTCACTCCTTGTGTTAGTGTGTGTTGTGCTGGTCTGAGTGGATCAGACACAGCAGAGCTGCTGGAGTTTTTAAACACCTCAGTGTCACTGCTGGACTGAGAATAGTCCACCAACCAAAAATATCCAGCCAACAGCGTCCTGTGGGCAGCGTCCTGTGACCACTGATGAAGGACCAGAGGATGACCAACACAAACTGTGCAGCAGCAGATGAGCTATCGTCTGCTGCGATCAGTGGTCTGACAAGGTAATAGAGTGGACAGTAAGTGGACACAGTGTTTAAAAACTCCACAGCACTGCTGTGTCTGATCCACACTAACACACCACCACCACATCAGTGTTCCTGCAGTGCTGAGAATGATCCACCACCCAAATAGTACCTGCTCTGTGAGGGTCCATGGGGGTCCTGACCACTGAAGAACAGGGTAAAAGGGGGCTAACAAAGTATCAGAGAAACAGATGGACTACAGTCTGTAACTGTAGAACTACGAAGTGCACCTATATAGTAAGTGGAGCTGATAAAATGGACAATATATGTATATAAATCAGATTTTACTCTAATTGCGCACTCTTTTAATCAGGGCAATCGCATCGTGGACTTATGTCAGTCCATTAATGCACATCTGTGAATCTTATCATCTGTTAACAATTAAATGGTGCAGAAATTTGAAAAATCAGTGGAATTCCCCTTTAAAAGCTATTTTTAGTTAGACTGTTCCTGCCTGATTTTCCTGTCTGGTTTTGACACGTTGATGAATGCTTAATTATCCCTCACTAGGTGAGCTCAGGTGAGAGGCGTGGTCAACCACCTGGCCTGCACCTGGATGCCTCGCCCACCCCGAGTGACAGAGAGGTAAGGACTTATAATCTCCTTTGGTTTTTATTATGCAATTTTACACTGAGTGCACTGAGTTTACACCGTTAATGACCAAACTGCTGTTTGCATTGTTGTAAATGCTGCTTTTCAAGGTTTGTTCTCCAGCAGAGCTCTTCCACACTCTGTTCATCTCAAAGGATTTACCTGCCCATATATCCTGAAGACGGTTGATATGTTTGAGTAAAACAAATCTGGTGCAGATCTGTGCAGATTGTCTGATCTAACAGTTATATTTACTAAAAGTGCTTCTAGGTTTTGAGAAGAGAAGAACCCAAAACATACAGACTTCATTAAAAAGTAATTAAATGATAATAATAGCAGTAATAATAATAATAGTAAACAAGAACTAGGATATCATGTGGAAGTGCCTCTATTACATCAGCCGTATTTAATAACATTATGCTATTTAATATTTTGGAGATAATACAAAACTCATCATAAATCGTTCCGCTAAATGCGAAGCTGATCAGCGTTTATTAAAGGGCTTTTTTGTAATGTGTTTTTGTCCCATTTACAATCCGTTTATGACATTTATGCGTTTTTATTTACTAAAATCAGTCAATTAATTCCTGCGTGATTATTTTCCAGCCTGTTTTGATCCCTTAGAATTAAGCAGGCTGTTTCTGTTAATGTGTCTTTAAGATTTATCTATGTAAATGAGCTCTGTTCTGATTGGCTGGCCTCTATTGTGCTTGTTCAGAAGCAGTTCACACTGAAACACTCCTTATAACTTCAGCGTGAGTGGGCGGAGCTAAACTCCGAGTTGGACTGACGCAGAAGCTGCGTGATTTCTGATCTGGCTGTTCAGACTAAAGCTACGTTCACATTACAAGCCTCATGATTTTTTGCTCAAATCCGATCTCTCTGACTCGATGGTTCACACTCGTTTAGGTAAGCGACTCAAATCTGTCATTAATGTGAACCGGCGTCCTGAAATGACCCTCATGAGCTCATCCTACTCAGTAACGTCACGTGAACGAATCACGTTCATCATCAGCACAAACTAACGAGCAGAACGAGCTTCGCTGAGAAGATAATTAACTCTGATCAGCTCTCAGCTTCATTATTAGAGCGAGACGAAGGAGAAAAAGGTGAGATGAGCTGCTTTTCCACCGTTTACAGGCTTTAACTTCTGTTCGGCGCTGCTGCCATGGTAACGCTGAATGATGGCGCAGTGGAAAAAAGCATACGAGTTCTGATCTGAGCGTCACATTAAGGTCGCATGGCCACAAATCGGATACGTATCCGATCTAGGACCACATATGAAAGCGGGTCTGTTGTATTAGAAAAGATCAGATTTGCGTGTCCAGCCAGCTCTGAAAACATCAGAGTCACATTAGGGCAAAAAATCGGATTTGTGCCACTTCAGCCTGGTAATGTGAACGTAGACTGAGTTGCTTCGCTACATATCGGATACAGATCAGATTTCAGTACCACATATGAAAGCGTCTCAAATCGAAACTGAAAATGACACACAGACACACACCTGTGTCACATATGAAGAAAATGATCAGATTTGGGCCACTTTTACCTGCTGTGTGGACAAAGCCTTATATGTCAAGACAAAGCAGGTAATTTAATATTTAAATATTAATTATGAAACCTAACATGGACAAGAAGAATTCAGGGGACAAGAAGGCCAAAAAAGAGCAGCTTTTAAATCAGAGCAAATTCAGTAGTGCAATAAATATTACTCACTATATGTTTGTGTTTTTCATACTTTGAATACTGAATCTTTAAAATTAAAGAGATAAAGAGAGTTTAGAAAATGGTAATTATGATGGTTTTGGTACATAAAAGCTCACAAATGTCATAATCGGATGAAATCTGTGCAGTAGGTTAAGGAGGTGATCACGATGCTTAATCTGGATGGTCTTTCACATTAATCCAGATTTGGGGTCTCCTCTAGCGTAAAGTAACGAGCTGTGCTTGAATAGCTGGAGTCTCTTAATCAGATAAAGGAAATAGCAGGTTCTTTTGTTATCTAGTCCTTACAGACAGCTTTGGTAATGATAAACGTTTCATCGACTCTCAATTCCTGCTTTTCAGCTTATTTAGCTGAATGTACATTTTGAAGGAAACTTGTCAGTTGTGACTGCATGATGGTGCGTACACTCTAAAAGATGGTTCTTCAAGGGTTCTTTAGCAAAGAAAATGGTTCTGTATAGAACCATGATCACTCAGAGAACCCTTTGCATGATTAAGGGGTTCTTTGCCACGTGAAAGTGTTCTTCAGATTGATGGAGAATGTGCTGTAGATGGTTCTATATAGAACCTTTTTGAAAAAGATTGTTTGTAGCACCAAAAAGGGTTCTTGTATTTTGACGATGTCAAGCTTGTAACAATAGAAGAACCCTTTTTGGAGCTTTGTGGAACCCTTTTCAAAAAGGTTTTATATAGAACCCTTCTTCAAATTGGTGGAGAATGCATTGTAGATGGTTCTATGTAGAACCTTTTTGAAAAGGCTTCTAGACAGCGCCAAAAAAGGTTCCGCTATAGTGACGATATCAAGCTTGTAACAATAGAAGAACACCCTTTGGTGCTATATAGAACCTTTTTCAAAAAGGTTATATATAGCACCTTCTTCAGATTGATAGTGAATGTGCTGTACATGGTTCTTCATAGAACCTTTTTGGAAAGGGTTCTATATAGCCCCAAAAGGGTTCTTGTATTGTGACGATGTGACGAAGCTTGTAACCATAGAAGAACCCTTTTTAGTGCTATAAAGAGCCATATACAGCACATTCTCCATCAATCTGAAGAACCATTTCACCATGCAGAGAACCCTTTAATCATGCAAAGGGTTCTCTGAGTGTTCATGGTTCTATATAGAATCATTTTCTTTGCTAAAGAACCCTTGAAGATCCATGTTTTGAAGTGCCTAAGTGAAGATTTTACTGCATCTTATTGTTTTGACTTTTCTATGTTGTGACAGCGAAGCTCCCTCGGAATAGGAAACAGGAAGAAGTGTGATTAACAGCCTCCGGATAGTAATTTCTCTTTTTTTTTTGTCCCTTTCATGTTCTAGCAGGGAACTAGATTGCAGAACCCTAAAGCAACTCAATCACCTCTAACCTCAAAGCGCTGATTTTTCTGCTTTTTCTGAAATCTCTCCTCAGCTGATAGTCTAGCCTGAACGTAAGGAATCAGAGTCGTAGTGTGACGATGAGTAAAGGGTGTAAAGCTGAGGTTATTCTGCCTGTCTCTTCTTCTGGAGCTTTCCATAAAGATTCGGTTCCACGTCATCTCACACATCGGCTCAGTTTACCTTTTTGATGTCCTCCTTATTTACCCTGATAAAAGCGTGTAGCGGAGAGCGGGGCACAAACCGGAAAGTATGAGTGCAACAAATATGAATATTGAATAAAATGAATATTTTACGTAGTTAAACAGGTTCCAGTGCTTTCAGTCATGTTCTTATGTTCCCATAGCAACATCATCTGTGGATTTTGACAGCAGTGCGCCAGATGTTTCTCCAGATTCACCCTGAAGATTGAACGTTTTTCATCATTAGTGGTTCTAATTAGCGAGCTGTGCAGAATTCTTAAAAAAAATTGTTCTTCAAGGGTTCCTCGGAAAGGAAAATGGTTCTATACTCTTTGCATGATTCTTTGCATTCATGCAGGGTTTTTTGGATCATTAAATGGTTCTTCAGACTGATGGCGAATGTGCTGTTTTTTTAAAAAGGGTTCTTTATAGCACAGAACGTTTGTTCTATTGTTACAGGCTTGACATCGTAACTATCGGAGAACCCTTTTATTATCTTTGAGTGTTCGTGGTTCTATATAGAACCATGTTCTTTACTAAAGAACTCTTGAAGTATATTATTATAATCTCTTCTTGGTGGCTGTAATATATTAGATTTATAGATTCATGTATTTACTTATTTATTACATATAGATCATATTTATATTGTTATATTATTATATAATATAATGCATCTTACTGTATTATTATATTATATATAAAGTTGTAGATTTTTAAATTTATAGACACTATTTCTCCCATTATACCAAAACATTAGGGATGGGCAATATGGAAAAAGTATTGCATCATGATAATTAACCCTCTGGAGTCCACAAACTCGCCCGTAAATCAAATTCTCATCATTTGTGATGATCCAGCTCAGAAATCCAGTTCAAACACTTCCTGAATCTGTAGAGTCGCCCTTTCCATTCCATCTTATCACGAGATCATACGAGACTCACATCCGGAGTTATGAGCCTATGAAGAGGGGCTGAGATACACGTCATCTGCCTTTCACCGTGTGGAACTGGTGGATTGGTGTGTCTGTCTACATTCTGTGTGAAACTGACCAATGGACACTCAGGAAATCACTAAGGACTGACCATCACGCCGGAAACACTTCATTCTTCATTCAGTCCACATCGGAGACTCATGTGAAACGGCGTGCAGAGAGTTTACAGCTGCTGAAGCTGCTGCAGCGGTTTTGGAAAGTAGTGATGAAGATAACGGAGCATTTAGATATGAAACATATGAGGATCATGTTATATGAAGAGCCTTTAAAGGAGAGTTTAAGAAGAAACGCACAAATCGAAAGAACAACGCCAGAGCCCAGAGGGTTAAAACGATTTTTACAATGCACGATATGCATCACAATATTTTGAAACACAATAACAACATGCAAGTAGGGTCACATTTAACAAGTGTGTTTAAACGTTTACACAGTAATACAATCGTTATTGGATTTCAGCAGTTATAAATGTGGCACTACAAGTTCATTTCTCTTTATTCTGATCAGATGTCTGAAAACTAAATATCGGGACATGTCAAGCATTGTGAAAATTTCTTGAAGTATTGTGATATTAGATTTTTGCCATAATAACATACTAATAACAATTCTCTCTGTAACAATAAGTTATTATTACATTTCCCACTCCTACAAAACAAGACTGCAAAACACTAGAGGGCGCCTGTGAGCAAGTCCACAGAACTCTATTGAATTGATTGTGTTTGCACTGATTTACTAGATGTTTTAGAGACTGTTACTGTCTGTTAGAGTTAATCCTGCCTGTGGGGCAAGTTGTATCATTTGCGCTCACTCACTTTTGGCTAAATTGTTTATAAACAGCAAAAGCGGCAAACAAAGTTTATGTTTTCCACTGTAAGTGAGATGTGTAAAATTATTTGGCTTGGTTTTGCCCCGTTCTTTGCTGCACATGCTTAAGCCTGTACTTATTTGAATGGAGCTCAAAGCAAACAGAAGAGTTCCTCATTAAAGGTTCTAGATCAGATTGTGTGGAAAGGGACATCAAACAGCGTAAACCCAAAACCTCAGGTTGAGTGTCTCATCTTTGTCTATCTCTCTTTTCTTGCTTCTACTCTTATTTGTCACAGTCATGCCCTCTCACTCGTTTATTTCACTCCTGGTGATGTTTCTCATTGCTCTCTGTCTCCCTCTCCCCCCCCACTTCACTGCCCGGCCCCCTCATTAATGCATTGGCTGATTTTGTGGGGGGGGGGTTGGTCAGCTGCTGGCCGGGATGATAGCAGAGCCTGCTTTTCTCTCTGAATATACTATCTTTGCTCTGGACCATTCAAAACGACCCAAAGCGGCCCAGGTGCCCAGTGCGGTGAGTCCATCCTCACACATCGCCTCCTCTTCCCGCCCCACCTAAGCCCCCCAGACCTGCTGCCTCTTCCTCCTTCACCCTGTTTATGCAATGCCTTTGGGGGTTTTGGGCTAGAGGATGTGTGTGTAGTTCTAGCCAACTTCTGCTTGCAACCTTCCACAACCTCATGTTCCTCTCCAGTTCCCTCGCTATAACTCAAAGGCATTTCACCCTTAACTCTTGCATCTAATCCAGGGGTGCTCAGCTGTGGTCCTGCAGGGCGGGAGTGCTGGTGTAGTTTGGTGCATTTCTATTCCACCAATCTCAGTTCCAAAAAAAGTTGAAACAGGAGGTGGAACGCAAATATGACCAGAAAGTAGTGATTCGTAACTTCTCATTGACCTGTATTAAACTGAACAGTACAAAAACATGATATTTGATGTTTTACCTTATGGAAAATATGGAAAAAGTAGTCCATCATGATACTTAACCCTCTGGGGTCAGTGAACTCGTCCGCACGTCAAATTCTCTGTTTCTATATCTGTGTCTGTATCTTTGTGATGATCCAGCTCAGAAATCCAGTTCAGACACTTCCTGAATCTGTAGAGTCGCCCTTTCCATTCCATCTTATCTCGAGATCATACGAGACTCACATCCGGAGTTATGAGCCTATGAAGAGGGGCTGAGATACACGTCATCTGCCTCTCACCGTGTGGAGGTGGTGGATATTTGATGTTTTACCTTATGAACTTCTTTGCAAATATACGCTCATTACAAATATGATGCTTGCAGCATGTTACAAAAAATGTTGGGACAGGAACTTGTTCACCACTGTATTACATCACCTTTCCTTTTAACCGCACTTGCTAATTGTTTGGGGACTGAAAACACAAACTGATCCAGTTTTGAAAGCGTTATTTTTGCTATTCTTCTGTTATATGAGCAGCTGCGCAAACTTACAGGGCACACGTTTCATTGGGAGACAGTTCTGGACTGCAGGCAGGTCAGTCTAGCACCCGCACTCTCTGATCACGCAGCCATGCTGTTGTAACACATACAGGATGTTTCTTGGTGTTGTCATGTTGAAATAAGCATGGACGTCCCTGAAAAGTCTAGAAGGCAGCATATCGTGGCCCTCGGAACCAAACCTCGTACCTCCAAAAACTTAACTTTACAGGACAAGGGAAAGTGGGCCCTCATTCTCCAATAGCTTCTTATTTTTTCCTAAATCTGTTCTTGAGAAAGGACCTAAGAAAAGGTCTCCGTCAGATTCATGACGTGTTCTTAAAGCGCAGAGCTGTTCTCACCTTTGTGCTCTTGAGTGTGTGTAGATTCTGTTCTTACCTAAGAACAAATCCCACATAAGAGAACATTGATGAATGAGCGTCTTTGTGAAAACTGCATAAGCGGGTTTTAAGAAGAAATTTCTTCTCAAGGGCGGTTGGAGAATGAGGCCCAATGTTCTGAACTTTTAATGGAAAACTAATTTTTCCAAGTACTCTTAGATCATTTCTGTTGGTTCATTCATAATAAAATTTTGACACAACATAAAGGACAACTGCATTTTTCAAACCATGACAAAAAATGAAAAACGAGAAAAATAGAGATGCAAGGTTTTGCCCCGACAGCTACAATGTTCTGCACCAAAATGTGTAGGCATCTTTGTGTTAAAGGTACTTTCACAGATGTGCAGGTTACCCTCTAATACCCCTCCTCCCAACACCATGACAGATGCTGGATTTTGAACTTTATGCTGGTAACGATCTGGATGGTCCTTTCCTTCTTTGGCCCAAAGAACACAATGACCACTACTACCATAAACAATCTTGTCAGACCACAATACATGTTCACACTGAGCATCAGTCCGTTTCAGATGCGCTTGAGCCCAGAGAAGTCGGCGGCGTTTCTGGACGTTGTCATATGCCTTCCACTGTGCATAGTACAGTCTTGTCCTTTACGCAGAGAGATATTTCTGGATTCTCTGTATATTTTTATATTATATTATGCGCTCTAGAAATCCTCAATCGCTCATTGTGGATTGTTATTTTTAAACTGTTGGATTTGACCCTGACACATTTTATGTCACAGTGTTGAGCCTCGACTCGTCTTCGCTGCTTTCTTGGATGCTCTTTTTGTTATCCAAGCATCATTGCGTCTCCTGTTTTAAGATGTTTTTGAACATTTTACAACATTCCTGGTCTTAAAATGTCCTGACTTTTTTGAAACATGCTGCAAGCGTAAGTTTCAGAATTAGTTTATATTTGCAAAAATGTATGAATTTGACAAGATAAAACATTAAATATTGTGTCTTTGTGCTGTTTAAACACACGTGTAATTACAAATCACTGTTTTCTGTGTTAGTTTGCGTTTTATACACTGTCTCCTCTTTTTGGAACTGAGGTCTGTATTCAGTTTCTATGCTCTAACGCTACTAATGCATTTCTACTAAACCAGATAATTAACTGATGTGCGTGTTTAATCGTGGAAATCGCCAAACTGTGCCGGACTCACGTTTTCCAAGGCTGGAGTCGGGCATCCCTGATCTGATCCTTGCAGTCTTCTTTTTGTATCAGTTGCTTGTGTGCTCTCTGCACTTTGTCCCTTGATTGTTTATTCTAAATGGTTCCCCGTTGGCATCTCGAGGAATGGATGGTCTCCCTCTGTACTGCGATAATTCCCTAGTTTGGTGTCTGAACTCCTCTCAGCCTTGCTAGTCTACTCATATTAGTGGACTCAGATGTTCCTCAGTTATGAATATGTATGTATGTGTGTTTTGCTGTTCTCCCTCAAGAAGCTTTGTTCTTTTTAACCTGGCTGGTTTGGCAGGTGGTGAGATTAAAGCAGTATTTTGATGTTTTACTTAACAGGAATCTTAAGAATGTTGACCACGGTGTATTACATGGAATTAGAAATAGAAAAACAAATTAAAAAATCAGATTTGCACACTTTCCCACTTACTAACATGTTTGGTGTCTGAATTTTGCTTCTTCTGTTTTGAACTGGAGCTACAAGACTAAACAAACAAACACTTGAAGTCACTAGTCACCCAAATCTTTCTGTAAATATATCCTTAACCTTTTCAACTCCTTGAGACCACCGGTGGTTCCAAAACGCACTTTGTCATATTCTTCATAATTTTCATATTTCATAAGCTGCATTCAAAGGGTGGGTGTCATATGAGAGCTGTAATTGTCTTCTTTCCAGTCAAATAGATGGGTGATATGATTTTACAAGTTTTTATTAAAAGAAGCTGAATTTACATTTTTTTTTTCTACCGAAAGTCGACCCATTTTTCCACAAATCTGGGCTATAAACTGTAAACAGATGGCGTGTCTTCAGTGATCTGCTCTGTAAAAATTATTTTTATTAAAAAATACAAAATGCATCTAAGATTTTTGGCTTTCAGCAGTAAATTGTAAGCATATGGCAAGAGGGGGCAGTCGTGGGCTGGAGGTTAGGTAACCAGCCTTGTGCCCGGAAGGTCGCCGGTTCAATCCCCTCAGCTGACAGTACGTGACTGAAGTGCCCTTGAGCAAGGCACCTAACCCCCAACTGCTCCCCGGGCGCCGTGGATAGGGCTGCCCACCAGCAAGTGTGCTCACTGCCCCCCGGTGTGTGTGTGTTCACTAGTGTGTATGTGGTGTTTCACTGCACGGATGGGTTAAATGCGGAGGTCTAATTCTGATGTGTTCAGACACAGTTGGCTAACATTTCATGTGTATGATCATAAAACACATGTTTTGTTAATTTGAGGGGAGCTTTTACCCAAAAAAATAAAATAAAATGAACAAACATGAACAAAGCTTCACCGTGTAGCTGAACACTGCATGCAAACACTTAATACAACAAGTGTTATGCTGAATTTATGTAACACAGGCATATTTCATTACATTCCCGAGTTCTATCTTTCTGTTTTTGCACTTATACAGTGATCAAACGTTTTGGGCACTGAGAGGTTTAGGTGTTTATATGCTCAGAAAACATTAATATTACAATTAATACAAATAACATTAATAATTAAACAGTAAATTGTGATTTTATGTATGACAGTGTTCTCTTATAATCATTTAAAAATTTCATGCCTTTTCCTCGAGGAAGCCCAGTATTATTTGTAGTTATCATCCAGTATCTGGTGGGCAGTCAGGGGCTGGAGGTCAGGGAACCAGCCCTGTGACCGGAAGGTCGCCCGTTTGATTCCCTGAGCTGACAGTACGTGACTGAAGTGCCCTTGAGCAAAACACCTAACCCCCAACTGCTCCCTGGGCGCTGTGGATAGGGCTGCCCACCGCTCTGGACAAGTGTGCTCACTGCCCCCTAGTGTATGTGTAATAAGGGTCACTTAACTTAATCTGGTCTAATCAATGCGTCATTATATTAAATCAGGTGCTTAACAAACCCATGGAACCAGATCTTCAGACTATCCCACAAACTATCAAATACTTTTTTAAAACTAATCTTTTTGTTTTCTTTTTATTGTGTTTTTGCTCATCTGAGTTTATTTGGGTCGATAGATTTGGGTGACTATTGACTTCTAGCAACATTAGACATAAAGCTCCGGGTTCTTTAGTAAAGGCAAGGGTTCTATTTAGAGCCCTGAGTCCTGCATTGAACCATTTAATTCTTAAATTATTCTTTGCATGGTGAAATGGTTCTTAAAATTGATGGAGAATGTGTTGTATATAGAACCTTTTTGAAAACGGTTCTATATAGTACCAAAAATTGTTAGGATGTCAAGCTTGTCACAATAGAAGAACCTTTTTTTTTTGTTTTTTTTTTAGAACCCCTCCAACAATCTGAAGACCTGTTTCACCATACAAAGAACCATTTAAGCATGCAAATGGTTCTATATAGAACTCATGGTTCTAAATAGAACCATTGCCTTTAATAAAGAAACTTTAATAAACTTTAATAAAGAAAGTTTTTTATCCGGACCGTTCCTTTAAGAAATCCCTCATAATTGGCTTATTTGGCTCTTTTGTTTTGTTTCCATTGTAGTGTCAGTAATTGACTTTTTTAAGGAC